CGCGCCCCCCCCCCCCCCCCGTCCCAGTCTCTTTCTCTCCCAGTCCCAGAAAGAAAACAAGAGCGGCCCGCAGATGGTGTGGTAATTCAGGCACTGAACTCCCACATGGCCGATCATGGTTCAAGTCCCAGAGCTGGTGGCTTACTTTCACACTTTCTCTCTCTCTGGCGAGCACATGCTCTATAGCAACTTAAAATAGCAGTAAATAAAGTGAAATAAGTAATTCTTTTATGAAAAGAGAAGAAAAACCAAACGAAAACAGACTGCTGGCTGAGCCTGTGGCCTAGTGGTTAAGGAAGCCGGATCCACATGCCCGTATCCCAGCACTGGCCTTCTCCAGGTGCATGCACGTGTGCACCCAAATCCTGGCAGGATGGAGGAATGGGGCGAGGACCGCAGCGTGACCACCCCGCGGGTGCCCTCGCCCTCTCCTCTCTCCGCCTCTCTAGTGAGTGCATGTACTCTGACAGTAAACTATCTAGAAATAAGAATTACATGTTACACAGCGTAATCAGGAAACCCAACCACACACAGATAACCAGTCCCCGGGACGGCACCCCGGAGGCCCCCCGGAAGCGCGGCTGGCCAGGCTGCACAGACACGGAGACCTGCTTATGCTGGCTCATGAGGGGCATCTCCATGTCCTGGCTGGGCGAAGCCACCAGCTGCCGCCGCTGCGGGGTGGACACCAGGGCCTTCTGCTTGTTGCGGCACATGCAGACCAAGAAGAAGAGGCAGGCGACGACCAGGGGGATGGCGATGCTCGGCACCAGGATGTACAGGATGCCCATCTTGCTGCTGTCGCGGGGGCCTGGGGACAATTGAAGGCTCCGTGAGTTCCCGGCAGACAGCCCCTTCCCACGCCAAGCTCTCCATCGGCTCAGCCCCGCCCCCAGCCAAGACGTTTATGTGCAAGTGGACGGCCAGGGCGTCGCACAGCGGGCCAGGTCCCCACCCGAGCCTCAAAGCGGCACGACCACAGGCTGACGTCTTAACACTGACAGTCCACGTCATCCCCCCGAGGCTTGGGTGCCCCGGAAACGTGTCCACTGGGTCTCCCTGGCTGCTACCGCTGATGACACGGGGGAGGGGGGTGGGGAGTGGCCCGGCGGCCTACGCTCTGTGAACGGAGCACGTTGCGGGCATTAGAAATGATCCTCTTCCTTGCTCCACGTTTTAATGCTTTTTGCACACTTCTGTCCCATAAACTTACTCTTAGGGAATGATTAGAAATGCACCTGATTTAGGAGAGCAGGGGACACAGGCGTTTGCCCGCGACACCATGCGGAAAGGCTCTCGAGCTCTCGGAGGATACATGCCAGACCATCCAGGGCCGCCTGGCCTCAGTCCTACGTCTCCCTCTGCAGGATTAACAGGAAATCGCAGAGCGGCACGCCGGGGGCCAGGGCAGGCCCTGAAGGCAGCCTGACAGCAGGTGAGTGGGCGGAGGCTGGCTTCCCCTCTGCACCACCCTGTGACCATAACCAAAGGGGGCTGATGTCTCCTGGTGTGTGAGGACAAGTTTACATCCCAGGGGACCCAGGCTCTCTGCTTTCTCCTTAGCCTGCAGCTAACACCCAGGCTTCCAAGGCCTGAGGATGGGGTCAGTGAGCCCCCACCTGGAAGCAAGCAGGTGACTGCTGGTCAAGGTGACAACTGGAAGAGCCCGTTCGGGTCTGGACAAGAGCACTCTGCTGACACCTTGGGAATAAAGCACACTGCCCCCAACCCAGTCTTGACTCACGCCTGTCCCCAGAGATAGATAAATTTTAAAAAAGCACAAGAAACATTTCTCTCTTGTCCCCCTCCCAGGAACTCTCCTCCTGAAAAGGCCATACAGAGAATGTTCCAGAAGCCTTGGGGCAGGCAGTGGAGGTGCCGGCTCATTTCCCATCACTAGGGCAAGGGGGAGATTCCGCATCCCTCATGCCACCCTCGGGGCTGTGTGTGCCCTCCACACATGGCATGACCACGTTTTCTCTCTACAATTATGGAAGAGATGTGCTTATTATGAAAACACTGCAGAACTAGAGCCGTGGGGCTGGAGAGTGAGCGTGCCGACCTGCCCTTTCTCCGAGGAATGCCGCGTTAACGGGCTGGTCACCAACTTCTTCACGTCTATTCTGGGTTGAATCACAAGATTACTGATACTCAACGCTTCTGATAAAGCGTACCTTCAAATGGATTTTTTAAAACAGGATTTAAAATAAACTCTGCTTAAAATAATCCTATCATCCTATTTTCTTGCTCCTTTTTGTGGCGAGATAAAATCTCTTAGACGATATCGCATGTCGGAAGAGAGACCGGCGTGTGCTTTGACCACCACACACGAGCCCGCCAGGGGACGGACTTCGCTCTCCGAGTCGAACCCACGCCTCGTATGCACTGACTCGCAACGACGACCTTTGCCCTCCCGCCCTGGAAGTGCAGGGATTTCTTCAATGTAAGATTCTGGAGTTCCCAGGTCAAAAACGTACACATTACTTATACAAGTAGCACCGCTCACTGTGAACACATCTGCTCTAACACGGTGCAGGTGGGGAGTCACAGGTGGATGGGCATCTTTCCAGAACTTCACACGGCAGCACGTGTGCTCACGCACATGCTCACACGTGTTTACACACGTGGTTCCACGCATTTGCCCCAAAGAGACAAAGCAGTAGACACGACGGCGGGCCCACCGCAGCCCCGCCACCCCGCTTTTCCCTCCCGGGCCTGGCGGAGCCCTCGCTGCAGGGCAGTGTCCCGGCTGCGGGCTCCAGGGCGGCCGGACTACGATTTAAGGGCTGACGTTTTCATTCTTAGCCCTGGTCCCTGTAAGAACACCTGTGCCCGGAGAACTGCATTTGAACTACCAAGCCCAAGGCAGTGCCAAATTTGGAAGTCAAGTCACACTTCAGGAGGGCAAGGAACGCCAGCCTCCACTCCTGCACGGCAGGGCAGAGCGGGGCCTTGTGTGCTGGGAGGAGGGCCCCAGGGATCTCGAGTCACAGTCACTGATCAGCGCACGGTGCATCTCGGGGACCTCGGCCGCCTGCAGCGTGAACTGCACGTGTTTGAGATGAGGCCGTAACTGTGGAGGCGGTCAGCCAGAACCACTGCGGCTGTGCTTGAGGGAGCAGACATTCGTGGGGACTGGCTACGAGGTCTGAGCCCCGGGGCGCCGGACGGAGGCACGGCAGCAGAACGCCAGGCTCTGCGGGCCGGCCCCCACGGGCACGGGCCTGGTCTGTCCTGAGACCTCCCTCAGTGCACCTACCACACACTGCCCTGCCGGGGACCCGTTACTAGGGCTGGCAGAGGCTGTGGGGGCGTCGGCTTTGGGACCCAGTTGGGGTGCTGCCTCTGTTGCTTCCCCTCTTTCTCTCACTCATGGAATAAATAAATAAATGCACTTTAAAAAGAGCGCCGAATTCCATTTTCTTCTCGCCTCACCAAATCTGTGTGTGACAGCTGACAAGCAGCAAGGAGCGGAACAGCTGGGGTCGGAGGGAAGGTCGCGCAAGGGGAGGGAAGGGCTGGCAGAGGCCAGTGTGTGGTCAAACGAGGGGTGCTGTGCACACCCTTCTCCAGGCTGTTTGTTACAATGTCCTCTAATGACCAGACAGTACTGTCATAACCAGGCCCCACGAGACCGAGGCACCCCCAGGGCCCCGGCTCCCAGCGCTGCTCAACACAGAAGGCTCCGACACAGCCACACCCAACAAACACTTCACAAGAGAGGGAGTACGTACTGCAGGCGGGCACGGCACACAGTTCCACGCGCACGTTCGCATTCTGCGTGAAGCACCACGGGCCTTCCATCTGGCCGCCGGGGTTCCGGCAGTAGGCGTGCCCCCCTCCGAGCTCGGGGAAGTCTGCGCTGGACAGGTGGTGGCTGTGGGGGTGCTGCAGGGCCCACGGCTGGCACTGGTGCCCTGACTTGGTGGTGCTCACGGTCCCTCTGTAGTCTGCGCCCGAGCCGTTGTAGCACTGGTGGTCTGAAGAGGGCACGGGTCAGGAGGAGGGATGTCCAGGCAGGGCCCTCCTCAGGGACACAGCGCACCCTCCTCCCACGACTTCAGAAAGAGCAGAACCACTTTGCCCCGAGTACCCGAAGTGGAGTTTCGGAAGACCAGAGGGTTTCATGGAACTTCCAAGAAAAGCGCATTATGAGTAATGACTTAATGAAGTCCCAAAACCACGAATTAAGTTCAGGGCAACCGGGGACATACACGGGGACTTCAAAAAGTCCGGGGAAAAATAAGATTAAACGCAAGCTGATTTTCATGCAAAATATGCTGGAACCATGTGTGGCTTACCCATCACATGCACTCCCCATCCATTTCCAAAGACCCCGTAGGTGGGGAGCATCCCCACCAGAAGTCAGCCACGGCCCTGAAGCCTCCTTGGAACCCACCAGGCACCCCTGCTCCGCTGCTCCCCAACCCCTGACCCAGCCAGAAACAAGATCGAACAGAGCAGCAGAAAGGGCAGAGCCCCGCCCGCCGTGAGCTGGGAGGCCGCCCTCGCAGTGGCGGGCAGGAGCAGCCATGCAGAGCGCTATGCGTCCTCCCCAGAGGAGCCGGCTGCCCCTGCCTCCGTGCCATGTTCACACAGCATTTCCTGTGGGCCGGCCGCCCAAGGCCTCTCCTCGCCGTGACCCTTTTCATTTCTGTTCCAACAGCACAGGGCTAGCACCGCTGTGGGCCCCATGGACTGGCACATGGACATGCGAGCACTCTGGCTAGGGCTGCAGCTACTGGCCCAGCAGCAGGGTCTCCACAGACAGTAGGCCTGCATGCCAGGCCCTGACTGCTCTGCTAAGGGGCCTGTCTTCTCCTACAACCCCCAGACCAAATGAAGAAGCTAGACGTAGCCCAGGAGCCCCGGGGAAGGTGCACCTCCCCAGTCTCACCCCTAGAAACTTAGAAGGATACCCACTCCTGCACCTGCCCTCACTGGCTGTGGCCATCCCTGTCAGGGCTCCGGACCCGGGGCTTCCTAAGCCTCCAGAGCAGGGGCGCTCTGCTCCCAGGAAGCAGGGAGGTGGGGAGTTCTTCTTTCCTTTGGGGCGATCAAACAGGCCACCCCCAGGCCTTAGGCCTGTAAAGCTCAAATGCCCCCAACACCTCTTCGGGGATCTGTGGAAAGGTGCCTGGAAAGATGGGGGACCTCCTCGTCTGGGGAGCCTGACGGACACACGTCCTCCTGGGCAAGGACCCTGGGGGAGGGGAAGCTGAGATTCCAGAGGACTGGGGTGGGAGCTGAGGGCCCGGGATTCCCAAAGCCCCAGTGTTTGCTGGGTCCCTGGTGGGTCTGGGAGCTGGGCCTCGCTCCTCCAGTGCTCCCTGCAGCCTTTGCTCAACAACTCCAGCCCCTCCCAGTTAGAGCCCGGAGACCCCAGGCTCAAGGAGGTGGAGCCCTGACCTCAGGTTGCCAGGCCTGCAGGGCCTGATGACTACAAAATCCCCGCTCCTCAAACGCCTGCCCCTTCCCCCCTCCCCCCC